GAATGAAAAATCACAGGGCAAAACTGAACATCTGGATTTTGTTTCTTAAGCAGTGTTAACTAATTAAATATAAAACAGTATTCTATACAATTAGCTTCTCCCTTTAATCAGTCTGTTTATTCATGAAAACTGCTACCTTCCCCAGTTGTCCATAACCACATGTTCATTTAAAAAAAAAAGCAAAGCAGGATTGAAATTCCTTTTAAATAGCTGGAAAGAGCTTTGAGCTGTTTCTAGTAGCATGCATGTTAAAACTTCGAGGTACTGTGCAGCTCTCCTGCTGTACATTAGCTTGGTGACAGATGGATGAGCATGGTGTGGTGCACACAGCATGTCACCCTGGCACCTTGAGCCTGTCTTAGTGGGAAGGGAAAACCTGTTGTAATCCACAGAACACTAGAGAATATGAAGATAACCAGCCACGTGTCTTGCTGACACTTCATCTAACATGAACCATGCAGCAACAGGAGCTGGTGTTTGGAAATGTATCCCAAAAACCACTGCGGCCTGTCTCAGCTGATGCTGCTGGAACTCAAAGCTGAACTAAACTGCACAGTTCTCGAACTACTGCTGTAAGAACTGATTGCTCCTTCCCTGCTGTAAATGAACAAGTAAGTGCAGACTATTCAGGGTCACTGTCAGTGATGGAGAGCTAGGGAGCTTTCACAGTGATCTCTGAGCAGCTGCTTTCTCTGAGCAGCACTCTGTATGTTCCCCATGCAGTGACCTGCTGCCAGCCACGCTGAGCTGGCCATGCTTCTACCCCAGCAGCAGCTACTAAAATGAGGGTGTTAACTAAGACATGACTTGCCCTCCAGTATGATTCTGAGATGTGAGTGTTACTACTGTCCCACTTTCCCAGTGCTGCCTGCACAATCCATGGCTCTCAGCTCAGGGCACACGGCCTCACACGCAGACATGTGTGAGGGCACGGCTGTGGCCACACAGATGAGGCTGCAGTGGCTGCAGGAAAGCAGCCTGAGCCCTCACAAAGGAGACCTCTCTTACTTTTGTACAGCAGCACTAACTACTGACGTGAAATCAGCCTGCAAAGCCTTGCAGTTCAGAGGCAGATGACCAAACACTTATCACGTGGCTGCCAGCAGCTAACACTAGCCAGGGAAAAGGATCTTAACTGACTGCAACTTCTGTGTCGTCACAGAAGACTTAAAAAAGAACTCAGCTGGAAAATGGGGAGAAAATTGAAAAAAAAAAAAAAAAAAAGAAGAAAGCAAAACAGAAAAAGAGAGAGAAAGGCAATTTGGCAGTATCTGTGCCCCATCACAGGCTGCCTTGGAAAAACCCCTGAATTTTGCACTCTGCTATCCAAGCTCAGAGACATTACCAATATTCTAAGAAAACCCCTTGCTAAAGCAGAGCCTGTTTGCTATTACTCCCCTGTATGGCAGGGTTCCTTTGAGTAGCTTGCTCCTCACAGAGCCTGCCCCTCTATGCACAGCTCATATATGAGGGAGTGCTCTCCCCTGACAGAGCAAACCTTTGCTGCAGTGGAGAAATGCAGTAAATTGGCACCCAGACAAATTACTCTGGCATTTCTGCAGTGTACTGAGGCTGACACATCCCCCAACCAAAGGGATATGGGCTACAGATGTACAACTTTTCTCTTGAGTCTCTGCCTCCCCTTAGTTTACAACTGTGCAGAAACCTCAGGGCTGATCTGCAGGGCCATCTAAACAGCACTGAACCAAAATGTTTACTGCTTCAACAGCCTGATCTGCAATGGCAGCAGCATTGGCATTTGGAGCAGTATCTCTACTAATAAATGGAAAGAAGCATTTTCCCAAAGTGTCTACTGGCAGTGAAGTAGCAGATACTGGCAAACAGCATTATGGGCACCCTTTGAACTGCATGCAAATTACCAAGCACAACTTACTTTTTAAAATTATAATGGTCCTTTATTTGTATGGAAAAAACTCCCTTCCCTCCGCTACACAAATTTTACATTCAGTTGCACAGTCACAAAACACGGCTTTGGAAGGAATCCCCACTTACAACAAAAACCACATCAATGTGACTAATCACAACAGCTGTCTTACCTATCAGAAGTTTAATGGCTTCTACTTAAAGCCTTTAAATAAAACAGCTTGTCTGCACATTTTTCACTGAGCAATACAACTAATTCCCATTTTTTTGAAGAAGCAGCTTTAATACCCTAGCATTAATAGCAGCTTCAAAGCCATGAGACAGTACTTATGATCATCCTTGACAGAATACATGTGCATGCTGCAAAGCTAGCCTGGAAAGGCTCAGGTATGGCCTTTCAGATCCCATGAGGATTTAAACAAACCATGAAGTTATGTTTCTTAACAAAACTATGCCTTTTTTTTTACTCTGACCTAATAATGTCACTATCAACAACAGTGACAAGGTGTTTCTCTTGCTGTAGTAGGATTGCAGTACTTCTTATGCAGGCATGACTGGTCTGTGGAAGGAGGTAGGACATTTTTCTCCCAGTTCTATTTAAATAGTATGTCTTTGATGATAGAAAGTTTCCCAAGGTTTTATATTGGGAAGGTACTTCCCTGCATGGCTGCTGCTTGTACTTAAAGCTTCACTGTTATTTTTTCGTGTTGTTAATGGACCTCCTTTATCTTTACATCTTCTGGAATCCTACAGATCATCCACTGGAAAATGCCTTTACATAACATGTCTAAGTACTGGATTTGTTTTGTCTTATCAGCCTGGGAGCCCTTCCCTCTGACCTGAAAGAACAAGATGGTACCAGTGGTGATGCCACTGGTCTGACTGCCATTTGTTGAATTAAAACACAGCTATCACCAATGGCCATGGGAGCTCACCTGGCCACAACAGAGGCAAATTTGAAGTCTACTTCCTTAGAGCCTGTGGCACACATTAACATGAGTCATCTCAACATCTGCTGAGTTTGTGTGCTGAAGCATTTGCAGGCTCATGCCTTTGAATACAACTGAATCTTTAGAGCTCATGTCTATTTTTCTGCTCTGCCTGTTGACAAGCAATCCTAAGAATCTGTCAAAAGCAGGCAAAAATAGAAATGGGACAGGAAAAGCTATGGACCTCAAAAGCGTTTCTGGAATTTCATTGCAGGCAGATCTCTCATGATGATCTCATGAAAGAACTGCCCTTGAAAGTAAAATGAGAACTTTTGGATGCAAAATCCCAGGAAGTCACAAAACAAAAGCTAATTGAGGTGATTTAAAATTACTCTGAAGAGGATAGTGATGGTAATGTGAAAAGCTCGTAATCTATCAGAACCAGAGTAACCCGATAAATATCATGGAGGATTAAGAATACAGTCAGTTCAGAGAAAACTCTGAGATTGAAATAGTATTCTCAGAACAATTTAGAACAGGGAAAGCTTTCCCTTTTGTGGGTCTGTAGCAACACTGACAGAGTTTGAGGGAGGCTCCAACTGTAGAGAACATAACTTTGGTCTGGAACAGGACACAAAAGAAAACCTTAAGGCATGTGATGGTAGATAACAAGAGCTAGGGTCTCATGGAAAGTCTCCAGACAATGGCCAATTCAGTGGAGGCATACGTCTGTTTCTTGCTGTAGGAAACAGAAGTTAGAGCAAGAGCTGTTTGTCTCTAAGCCTCATGAAAAGAGTTCAAGCATAAGAAAATTAAAAGACAGAGGAGATGCCACATTGGTTCATACAATTCTGTCTTTGATGGTGGCCAGTTGTAGCTGTTTAGGGAAAAAGTCTAGGAAACAAAGAGCAGAAGAAATGTAATTCAGCTACGGATGGATTGAACTGCTTCATTTTCAACTGTGAAACAGCACAGAGCTCTTCATGCATAAGCCATTTGCAACTCAGACATAAAGGTTCTACACTAAAATGAAGGGGAGAGAGAAATTCTGTCAGAACTCCCATACTCAATAGTAAATTGGTGGATGTAGGGAGAAGAGAGTTCCAAAGCAGCCAGGTACCCCATGGAAAGTATGCAATGCTGAGGGTAAACAGCAAACCTGACTAGGTTATGAGTAGATTCAATTGTAGGACTTTGAGCATTGTATTCTAAAACAACTGCCACATTTCCCAAGTACTTTTCTAGTGTAATGAAGGACTTCTTCTATGAAAAACTTATTTTCTAGGTTCTCCATTTCTTTTGTCCTCTAGTCCAGGTACCGTGTTGAGACGATGTCCTGGCCCTGAGCACTAATATAAATCTATCCTTTATAGAAACAGACATTGGATTTACCCTGGTCCTGGAGCAGATGCTCCATTATTTGCTATGATTCCCACCAGCTGCAGTTTTCTTCCACAACTGCCTGTTTGTTGCTGAGAAGACTGCAGAAACAGTGTTCCTGGGGAAAATGCACTGTATTTATGTGTGCAAATTGGTCATTTTGAAACATGGCAGGCTCAGCAAAATTTCTCCCTGAAAATCATCCCCATGAAATGGCATAGATTTAGATCCTTTAGTCAGTGTCAGTACCATCTCCAAGATTGCCCTTTGAGTTAATTTTGAGAGCAAACAGAACAAATGTGCATCAAAGTATCCCCACATGAAAACCCAGTGCCAGGAGAGGCAGCAGGGAGCAGCTACTGCAGGGTCAACCCATGCTGCCTTTCTCACCATTCACAGTAAATGAAAAATGCTCAGGGACAGGCTGCCATCCCGCTGCATGTGACACAAATACAGTCTTTTGTCTTCCTGACACACTGGTTACCTGAAGTTTTGTTCATTTAAAAAAATAAACAAAAAGAGATGAAAAGAAAAGCAGGTCTCTGATTCTTTTTGCATGGGAGGCTGATTTGAAATGAAAAGTAGTGAAAACAAAATGGAGTACCTTTTAGATATCTGGCCTGAGCTAATGACAGCTGATTTTCTTGTTACTCCAATGCTATGATCACAGTCCCTTCTCCAGATAAAAGCAACACAACTTCACAAGACAACTCACCTGTCTTAAACTGCTAGTGCTTTTAGCATTAGGTAGAAGAGACAATTCTCTGGTTGAGATGAAAACCACTGAGGTGAACAAAGGTTTCTTACCGTTAAGGACAACGCCATGCAAACGAAAGTGAACTTCTTGATATGTGTCGCTGTGACGGTGCTGTTGGTGTTCACCAGTTTATTGCTGGGGTTATTCTAGGGCAAGAGAAAGAGATAGCGGGCATTAGCTTGGCTCCAGACTACCAGGAGCTGCTGGCACCAGGGTCATGTGCTGGACCTGACTGTCTGTGCCTGTCCATGTCTGCCTTGGCTTGTTTGCTTTATAACCTAGAGCTTTCTGAGTACTTTGTACCACTACAGAACATTTTCTGCTTAAACTGACTGCAACTGCTGCTATGGTCACTGAGGGCTGAGTAATCTCCCTCCTTTTCCAAAGAATAAGTCCTATTTAACAAATTCAGCTTTGAAAAAGGTTGGTAGCTCTTTCTAAGAAAACACCAAATGATTTTTTTAAACCTTATTTTAATGTTTGTGGCATGTTTTCACAGGAAAAACTGGATTTGATTCCCTTTTACCACAAATTGGTACCAAATCAAGAATGCAAGCATCCTTACTGATCCAATTAGACAAGCAGGTAATATAAACAAAGCTTCTGGAACAGCTGGCTCCATTAATGCAGTTTAATGAACAGAACATAATTAGGACTATTAGATGTTCCACCTTGAACATGGGCTCTGTACTCACATGGCAGCAAAGTTTTATTTAAAACAACAAAAGCCTTCTTCCAAATGTCTAATATAGCAAATGAAGCTGAAGATTTAAAATTGCCCTTGGGGAACGCATAAAACCCAACTAAATGGTCTGTGAAAGGAGAGGAGGATATCAAAGGAGGTTACCATTAGGAGCCCTTAAAGAAGAGGCTGTTAGGTCATCTATTGCATTTGCCCTGGGACTGTTTGAGATACACGAGTTTTTGCACCTGCTGATAAAACCTGTACCATGAGATGTACATTTATACACCCTAGATGTAACTTGGGTAGAACAGCAGTACCTGTCACAGAGTCAGCCTTCTCTAATGGAGTTACTCGTAGGAGAAATAGAACTATTGCAGACACACTTGGGGAGTGGAACATTGTGAACACTACATTATTCTCCACACATTCAGGTGCTTGATGGAATTTTGCAATTTAAGGCTTTTGTTCTGATCAGTGCAGCAATTGGACCTACATAGCCCCATGTTCCTCCTAAATACCTGCTTGGAAGTTTGGATGTTTGAAGACGTAGGCAACCCAGACCCTAAAGCAGGAAGTCACTCCATCTGACCTTTTTGGGAACAGGTTATAAAAACTCCCTGTAAACATTTTTTCATGCATCTATTACTATTAATTGTGTTTCTGAAGAAATACTTTGCTTTGCTGTTAGTTTTCACAGATATGAGGATTAGCTTTGCTTACATCACTCACCACTGCTTAAATGAACTTTTTGCTGCACGGCTCAACTTTCTAACAAGCCTAAAATAACAAATAGGAAATAAAGCACACCCAAAACAAGCCATCCAAAAGCGCTGCTAAGAAAAAGCTTTCTCATTTGTTTGTACCTCACTGCTGCTATCCTTGCCCTTGCCATACTCTGCCCTTTGCTCCATATCTTGACCACATACTCTTTGTTCATAACTCTTCCACACTACTTAGTTCTCAGAACAAAACATTATGGAGCAAAAAGAATTCCCATCTAGTCATCAGATAAATAGCACTCACAAATCTCAAAACTGGTGTTGCACTGAGTCAGGTGGCAGGGTCCATTAGGAGCAATGGCATTATCACCATATAAAACAGCATACAGAGCAAAGAACTAGCATATGCCTGCTCTCTTCCAAAACGTCAGTGGTAACCCTTAGCCTGAATGTAACTGCTAGGCCATGGGATTGCTTTGGACACAAAGTCTCATTAAAGACTGAAGTAGGATTCTGCATCTCTCTTACAAATGTGAAGAGAGATAATGATTTCCCTTGTGTAGACAATAATCTTGAAGAGGGGCATCTCAAATCCCATCAGTCGGTGTGCTTCTGACAGCCATCAGCATTGCCAGCCTCCTCAATAACTGGAATAACTCCCATAAAGAAAATGGGAGTTTGCATGAAACACAATGTTTTGGATTCTGAAAATCACAATGGACACCTTACAGGGTCCAGAAATAAAAAAAGTGTTTCTATCCGGACTCTTCTGAGAAAGACTTATATTATGGAAACAAAGCTTTTGGAAGGCACAGTGACACAAGGTGATGCATGACTGAGGGAAAAGCAGTTCTCACAGCAATCTTCAAAAACCCGCTGTGGATTTCAGGTTTGGTATTTATTGTCTGAAAAGTACAGTGAAGACATTTACACATATGGTTGCCAGGATGAGATACCCTTTATACTGTTGCTGTCTCATTTTGTACATTTTATTACAAATTGCTCTTCAAACATGGAACTAAAATTCCTGTAAGTACTTTTCCAGCAGTTCGATAAACTGTACCCATCTGTGCCTTACCCTAGCATTTTCTTCCTCACATTGTCCCACAAGAGCCCTGTGAGAAGCCATTTAACCAAAATAAACAAATAGACAAATCATAGTCTAATCTTGTCACCACTGCAGTTGTCAGTGTATCTTTCACCAGCTAAATGTGACCTGAATTTAGGAGTCTTAATTGCTGTTACTATTGCTTGACAATAGTGCATTTGATTGTGGCTTGCATCAAATGAGGTTAGCAGCTCCTGATTTTCCTGTCCCAAACTATTTTTATCTTGCTGTTCACTGGGTTTGCATCTGCAGTTCCTTTTCAGCAGCATGGCCTCTGAGAAAGCCTAGATTTTATCTGACAGGTCAATTTAGTTGTACACAGGCAGGTTAGAAGGTTGTGATTGATTTGACTTCGTGTTGGTATTAAATTCTCCTTGGAAATATGTTGGATGACATTAAACAGGGCTTGCTCCAGTTAAACACATTCCAGAGAAAACATACATATTTTTCATGAGTATTTGGAACCAGAAAGTTCAGTTACTAACTGGTAAATAAAGTGAAGGAATGGATCTGGCATTTGAATTCCAGAGTCACAGGACAGTTCTTTGTCTAACATATGGACTAGTGAGTACCAGTCATAAATCAGAGCAAAAAAAGAGACTAAATAAAATTAATTTTTGCTCTGTGCTCAATTCCAGGAACAGTCCTTGCATTCTTACATAATTACATGATTTACCAACAAAAATCTTCATAGCCTTGGTCAGCTAAGTCAGTACTACTAAAAGAATGTCTGTTATCTGTGTTAGTGTCAGTCTATGAAACACCCTTTGCTAAATATTAACATAAGCAAATGAACCCAAACCCACTTGAGAGATACCACAAAAACTGGAACGGAGACGTGAGCTTGCTCATTCAGTGATGACACTTTGTGAGAAATCACTTCATTACTTAATGAATTAAGTAATTACTTCATTTTGGGGACTTTTTTAATCCCTAAAAATACAGCACCTATCTATCCAAAAGGCAGCTTAATACCTTGTAACACAGAGCTAAGGTTAAAATCATAAATCGGGTAACAGCTTGAAGCTTCTGAAAGCCAATTAATTTCAACTGATTTTAAGAAAACCTATCAGTGGAATAACAAAGAGAGAGAACTAGGAGGACCACACATGCAAAACCCCACAATAGGTATTTACAGCCCTAACAGGGACACTCACCTTGTCAAAAGCAGGGTACACAGCTCTGATCTCTGTCAGCCAGCCATAGGGCATGTGTCCCACTGGATATGTAGCAGTTAAAATCGCCACTGCCTATGAATAGAGACAGAGAAACATGAACTTCAAACACAACAGTGAAACTAACATAGGGTGCTATTGCCCACCAGTATCACCACAGTGACCTTGGCACAAATGCAAAACCAGACCAGCGACTGGAAGCTTTTTGTTTCAGGAAGACCATCAAAATGGCCATCATTTGGCCTGGCATTTTAAGCTTATGAATTTTTTTTTGTGCCATGAAGTTACCTAAGTCAACTTCGTCATTTCACCATCATCAGAGCATCAGTCTGATGCTCTGAGATAATAGTTAACTTGAGCTGTGGTGCACCCCTTACCAGGCCAACACCTTCCTCCATATTGCTCCTGAGATATTTTACCTACAGATAGCTGAGCAGCAGAATGCCTTAGAGCTCACAGCAGTTTTGGATCATAACAGATAATTTCAATTTATATACATTTTACTTGGTTATCCATAAATAAAATAGCTTCAAGTAAGACAGACTGTACACAATCATTGGATCTCAGTGGCTGACTGAGTTTGGACATCAATATGACTCCTTGGAGGCAGGAGGCACTTACAAGACCAAAAAAATCTACCTCTCCCCACTTTGGTGCTCATTGATGAACACCAGACAAAAATAATACCAGGTGAACATTTTATTATAAGAAACAATTCACTGCCTGAAATTTTAACAATTCACTGCCCTTTTACTCTCTCGTAAGTACAGTCCAAGATGTTTATCAAAGACATAAACTCCCCCCCCTGCCCCATATTAATGTATGAAATACCTTGGTGACTTTTCTGACTGCTGAAGAAAAAGTCCAAATACATGTCCTTCATGCAGGAAGGGCATTTAGGAGCTCTTCCTGTGGCTACTTGTAAATCTACTGTCACTCCAAGTTTTCTACTCCTCAGAGCTGAAGTATGCATCTGTACTGAGAACTGCCTGACTCTCTTAACTCCAGAAATCAAAGTACTTGGGTGCCTTTTGTTTGCAGGTTCAGATCTGTTACAATCCACATATTTCTGATTCATTTTACATCTGGCAATGGTAGTGTTAAGAAAGACCTTTTTTAACTACTGCTGTTTCTGTTTCACTCCCAAACTTTCAAAACACCTTTTCTTGATTATCTGAGCCCATTTTCCCATTATAAATGTAACTGCTGTCTCTGCTTGTTAAAAGATCTATACAAACACAGGACCATGTAGCAAGCTGATTTGTTCCCTGTCCTGTTTAAAATGGAGTGGAACATGGTGATATCCACAGAGAGTGATATAGATCCTTTCCTGCTAATAATAGCATTAATAATGTTTAATGTACCTTGAAAAAGTAATTGGTTCAAATAAAACAAATTGGAATTTTAAGATAGCACCCTTTTTAATTGCACACCCTCCCATTACTTTATTTTCATCAGAATTTCCATCTATATGAAACCTAACTAGGTTAAATTGAGTAAGGAATATAAAAGCTATTTTGCTTATTTTCATTGTTAAATCCAAAAAGACTGCAAAGACATAGTACCTGCTAAAGAGAAAAGTATTTCACTACCGTATTGTGTATGCTAGATGCTGCTTGGATGAAAGTATTAAGTTTTTAGTAGTGATTTTTTTCCAGTGTTTTTCCTCAATTAGTGTTATTTCAACATAGATGCATGAAAGTTTTCCTAAATATCTAGCACCTGTGTTTGACAGATGAGAAAGGCCCCTATGAAAGCCACCACCAAAGGGGTAGCCCAATCACCACAACTGTGCTGGCAGTCAGAAACAAAAGCAGAGGGAGCTGGACAGTGCAAGTAGATTTGTGATCCTCATGAACATGTTGCAGCCTAGTCCTTCACAGGGACTCCCTGCCCACAGTGAAAGCTGCTGCTGTTATTGAATAGGGGACCTGTAAAAGTCCTGTGGATACAGATGCTCCAGACACTGATGTTATTTGTGTTGTCAGCACCTCCCTTTGCAAAGGCAATTATTTCAGAAATCAGAGAAAGTTGGGATGTGACCATGACTATTCATGTAAAACTGCCAGAAAATCCCCAGCTGTGATATGTATTTGGAGTCACCCTAATAGCAACAAAAAGGAACTGGCTAGCCATGAAATGTGATGTGTCTAAAACTGAAAGTCGCCAAGAAATGCAAAACTGATCTTTGCTAATTTTTGGCTCCCCTTGTATGGAGACCACTGTTAACACATAGGCTGATCCCTGAATCACATATGTAAAAGTGTTAAGTTTCCTAAGTTCTTTTCTCACAGCTGTTCATTTGCAGTCCCTGGCACCTCCTCAGTGAATGAAATGCACTGTATCATGTATGACAAATTAACAGCAGTTCTTTGAACTTTGCTTTTCATTTAGTATCTTATAGCTTTGTTTATCCTATGGCTATATGCATCTAGACATCCTCGCATGAAACTGGCAGCAGAAGTCCCCCAGACTTCTTAGTAAAATGGGTCAGCTTGTGGTGAGCATTGGTAAAGGCTCTGCATCACAATCAGAAATCTGCCTCCCAACAGCTGTAGGAGACTTACTAGAGTAATCTGAAATTCCTCAACAGAAACAGGGTGTATTTCATATGCCAACCAGGAGGCTAATTTTTTTTTATATGTGCTTTTTTATGTCTCTACACCATTCTGTGTGATGCACTGACTGCTAACAGTAGTTTCACTTCAGTTTGCACAGCCATAAAATACAAATGACAGGAAAGAGTAGGACATAGGAGTACTGTCAACTGTCCTAAAATTTCTGGGATCTAAATGCTCCAGACTATATGTACCTATGTGTAGAGCATGAAAACCTGGGATGCAGGCACTGTTCAGCAAAAAAATTCTACTAGTCTTGTTGAGGCTGAGGTCCCAGTAGACCTGGCAGAAGGGCTCATGGTGAGAGTCCAAGCAATTTTCTTTTCAAGCAGAAAAAGAGCACTAAACAGAAAAGTACTTAAGACAATTTTTTCTTGTCAGCTTGGCTGAGGAGAGAGGCACAGGGGTAGCCCATGGAAATGATCATTTGCAGTAATGGAGAGCACTGCCTTTCTTACCTCTGTGGCTGCAGAACTGCCACCTAGGTCCCGGGAGACAAAAAGGTTGACAATGGGCCTACTTATTCGCTGAGTTGCCAAAATTAATGCCAAAGGCCACCAGAAACTCAGCATCTTCCTTATTGTAGCTTCTCCCTGCAATACAGGGTAAAAAAAATGAAGTGAGTTTGGGAAAAAAGCATGCAGCACATGACCAAAAGCATGGAGAAAGGTTTTCTGCTTTTCCCATCCACTGTCAGTTTGGTACATTAATTTCAATCATTTTCAATATGAGGAGCCTAAAATATTTTCACACATGGTAGCAATACTGATTCAAAAGTAGATGTGTCATGGATCTCAATAAATAATGCATAAGGTATCTGCATAATTTTTTCTGACTACCAGACAAAGCTCCATGAAAAACAATATGACATTTGAAGAAAAAGAGAAATTTTGATATCTTCTTCCATATGAACTAAGGTGTTCACTTAGTTCATGCTGTGCTGTCTTACAGTGCAGTACAGAGGTTCTCAGCAGACACATCCAAACCATGGAAGGCACTGTGTCACATGTGCTGTTGCTGGAATAATTTCCACCATGCCTCTTTAACTGAAAATGTTTTTTCCGGCAGGACAGAGAGAAGGCCCTTCATGCACAGTGGTTTAATGCAGTATTACAACACAAAAAAAGCCCATGTAAAATTATTGAGTTCAAAAAACCACAAGCATGAAGACATACCCCCATTTCAGGCCCGCTTCTGTCAGGAATAACATCATGTATGTTCCTGTAGTATCCGAGGCAGAGCGTGGTACACCGGACAAGTGCTCCCATGTATAAGGACAAGATTGGGATCAAGAGAGGCTCCCTGCACTCCAAGTGACTGTGAAGCAAAATGGCTACAAAAACAACCTGCAGAGAAAACAAGCAGGTGATTAACAATTTGTCAGTGTGCTTCTCCAGGGCCAACACACCTCCTGGATGATTCCTGTCTGATTCCTACTAAGCAACAACTTGCATGACTACAATATCTACGGAAACTTTAGTCAGGATCCCCCAGTATTTGGTCACAAATGGGAAGAACAAGAGTTAACTTCATACTCTATGAAACAGGACTTGAAGTTTGGACAGGTGTCAGACTGAAACCCATAAATAGGAGAAGGCTGGCATGAAAGTCTGGCAAGGTCTGGCAGCAAGCATGTGGCTGAGAGTCACCCTTCCCAGGAGAATGTGCTATTCTGATACACGATGAGGTTGGAGACATGCTTCTAGGGTCAGCTTCTAAGCCCTACTCTTCTGGGGTTTTTTTTGCGCAGGGGGGAGGGTAGTAACAATTAAAAGCCAGATTTTTAAAATATTCACTTCAACATTTAGGAGCAGGAAGTCTTATGTCAACCTAATTTTCAACGTTTTCAAGTGAAATTTCACTATTTCATTATTTGCTTTTCAGCTGAGTGCCACATTAATGTAAATTAAATGGAAACTTTTGGGCTAATGAACAGTTCATAATTCAGCCTCTTAAGACTAAATGCTCAATCCATAAAATGTAAAGCAACTGATTAATATGATATTATTCTCTTTGTTAAGAATAGAGTGGATGAAATGCCTGTTAAATTCCAAATGACTCAGCATGGGGGACACAACTGGAAAGCCAATTGTGTATGGTGCTGTGGAGAGCAGAACCAGGACAATCCTGCCAGGACATGCTGGCATTCAAGTGAGTTACAAGAAATAAAATACACTTTGTTCAGGAGCACGTTCTGTCCTTCATTGCTAGAGCTGTACAAGTAGTTAAGAAAACCACACTCTGCAAATGTTCCTGAGGCCACTTATAAGGGTTTTCAAACCTACAAAAACATTGCTTTTCTGTAAATAGAAGCAAAGTCAGTCACAAAGAGTGTGCACATCAAGCTACTCAAGAAAAAGTGGCTACTGCCTGTGCCCCTACTCCCTGTGTAGGGTGCATATGTAGATGTAGAGTTCTGGGCTATGACTGCCACAACTTTTCGTGTTCTGGATTTGCTCTTGCTCTGTGTAGTATTCTGTTGAGAGAAGATGACAGGTGTCTTATTCTTCACAACTCTGGCACCCCACTCACCAATCGCTGTGGAAAGGGCACGGCCAAAATAAGAACTTGTTTCTGTATTTAGCTGTGCATGACCTGACGCCCAGGGTCAGGAAACTTTGTAGGTCACGTCGGAACAAGAGGAGACCCTGAGGGTTAAGGTCATTTGCAGTAATTGGTATTATCTCTGGGGATTTAGTGCACTACTGTAGTGGGGTAGACCTGACAAATACAGAGTAGCAACTGACTGAACAGTTCAACCTGGTTTATGGTTTCCTTATGTTCAGTGGAAGGAAAATGGGAAAATGTTATGGAAAATTAAACTGAGTGCCATTGATTTCATATTTCTTTCGATGTCGTACTGTTTTATCCTCTTTCTTCTCCAGTCATTACACCATACAGCTGGTAATACTGCAGTACAGACACTGTTTACAGTTGCTGGGACTCTTAATTTCCTAACATTTTTATATGTTTTCAAATGAGGGCTGTATATTGGTTCTTAAATGCTACAACACAGTGTGTATGAATGCTGTTTTTTTAGTGTGCCTAATACAAAGCAACAGGGTAGTTAACACCTCCCTTCTGAAGGTTCAAAAAACATTTTGTCTTCTCTGAATCACCCAGGGATTATCACCACAGACCCCTTCTGGAGCACTTCTGAGCCTTCACCTTTTGGAACAGTAACAAGTACTCAGAAGGCAGCTTACACTGCATTTCCTTGGATTAGACACCACGTGCAAAACTGACAGGTCAGCTGGAGAATCATGCCTTCACCTCCAGCTCAGGATTTCACTGCAACTGTGCAAAGTGCTGGGGAGAATGTACAGGAGAATGTACAGAGAGAGAAAGATCTATTACAAAGCACTCTCTCAGCCTCAGGCAGGATTGGTAGCAGCCCGTGGTCTCTCTGCCTGACCTTTCTTTTCCCCAAATGTACACGCATACATACAGAGCTCGTTTCTCAGCCATTATGAAACAGGGCTGTGGAAGTGCTCCAGGACATGACCCTAAGCCAAACAGCCCTGGGAACTGACTTGATCCAGTCAAGTGAGACTGTCCTAAACCACAACTGCCAGCAAAAAGCCTTCACATGATGAACAGTCAGAGGGCAGCACACAAGATTACTTCCTCTGGTGTCTATGGAAGAGAGAGAAGGCACAGAGAGACACTGTGCTAGAGAGTTCCTGTTTAGGAAAGCATCTGCTCCATAACACAATGGGAACAGTGACTTCTCTGAGAAGCCTTTACCTGAGCTATGACATCTGAGATGGAGGCACATCCCACTAGGAAACTGTACTTGTGTTTCAGCAGAATCCCAGCATGGGTCCATGCCTGAAAAAAAGACAGAGAACTAAGTTTGGGAAGTGATTATGATATTGTGAATGATTTTAGGTCCAAGAATGCTGTTTTCTGGTTGTTACATTGTACACAAAAAATCTGCAGCAGTACCTGGTGTGAGCCTGGGCAAACATTAAGCCATTAATGCAGAGAAAGCACTGTTGCATTGAGTCCCTCATTGCCAGGCTGGCAGGGAGAATAGGGATAAATTTACAGACTGTATAGACATTTCTGAGCACATCTAGTAAGAAAGCAGCCCTTCACAAATCAGATGCTGCCCAGGATGAATTATCATAGTAAATCTAATAAATTCACCCTCTGGATGCACTTCTGAAGTGTAATATTCATTGGCCCACTGACTTATACTGAGTCCTGTCTGGAAAAGAAATCCAACTTCTTTTTATTGTCAGTCACTGTTTCAAGCAGACAAAGTGGTGAGAAAGTGGTGGAGGCATTGGCATAAGAATGTTCTCCTTTACCAGTTTTACACAGAGGTAGAGGCATTAAAGAGAGCTGCCACATTTTCATGTGCAGGCCACAACCAATGAGCCTGGTGATCTGGGAAGCAGCAGCTCTCGCCATGTGTGGCTCTCTTGCCCAAGCATTTGAGATATACTGGGGTTAGCTGTGCTTGCAAAAACTGATGGTAAGAAACATCTTTTTGACAAATTTGCTTTGAGAAATTATTGATTTTATTCCTTGTGAGCTCTGCAGGTCTGGGAATGCATGGTCAGTTCAAATCTTTCACCACAAATCAGAATGAGGTCACATAAAGACAACCAGTGCAGCTCATCACAAGATCACCAGTGGTTTCCAACAGGCACATACTGTAACTCTGACAAGGCAGCTGAGGTTTTTGACATTTGTCATGATCTCTGGATGTTTAAAGTCCACTCAGATGCTTTCTCCAAGTAGCAGGAGATGGGTCAAGGTATGTACAGAATTGCTGCTTGCCAAGGACACACCTTACTTCTGCGTACTTCAGTTTCCCATCAGGTTACAAAGTTTGTGAGCTAAGGTCACAAAAATGTAACGTTAACATTAAATTTCAGTTCTGAATCAGGCACTCACCATGGCATCCATAAAAGGGAAGGCAGCAAGATAAAGGAAGGCCCTCCGAGTTTTACTTCCCACTGATTCATCCACATGGTGCAGCTTATTAATAATGTAATACCCCAAATCACTATATGCTGTAGAGAAACAAGATAAGAATGAAAAACAAAGGTTGCATGTGGACTCTTGGGTGAGATATTCAGAAGTACCTGAAAGACTGTAATGCCTTGGAGCTCAGAAACACATCCACTTAGCAAACAGCTGCAAGGGCTTCAGATATTGCAGCCTCATCAGCTGCTGTTTATGACCAAGAAGTGCTCTCATGGTTCTTTTTAAAGTAACCTTTGGCAGAGGCGTGATAACAAATGGCTGGATTGGGAGATGAGCATAGTAAGTGCCACATCTGTTTGCTAAATGAACACACTGGCACTCCAGAAAATCTACTGCTCCTTCATTAAATCAAGGCTTTTTGTTAGAAAAGCTTTTTCACCAGGCATTGTGTATTTCATGGGACATAGTGCCTTATAAATGCTGAAACCATCTATTATCACTGCATTCTCATGACATTACCTGTAAACCTGCCCAAAGCTCTAAAAGGATATGGTGATTTGTGATGGCATGCAACAAATCACACTCATTATGTCCCTCCCTTACTTTGCTTAATGACCACCTCTGCCAGGACCTGACAGGACACAGTGCTTTGCTGTGCAGTCCCTGGGCAGCCTTGACTGGCCTTAGGTTCCTTCCCTATCTAAAGCCAGCACCTCCAGAGCCACAAGACAGAACAGGGCACCTCTGGAAATCAGGGGTTCCCACTTCTGATTGCCAGCATGCTCTTCACTGTCCTGTTTCAACCCAGGACAACTTTTAGTGTTGGACAACTCTCTTTCCAGGCCTCTCTTCTCAAAGTGTTGGGTTGAAGGCTGCACAGACATGGGAAGTTCCCACACAGCTCTCTGCAGAACTGCTTACAGTTCTGTTTGTACCCATGTTATCCAGCTGTTTTAAAAACCCCAAATTCGTCCCAATAACCAGGAATAACAAAGGCTCTGACTGGAGTCTGAACTATGGAGACAAATATAATGTGCAGCGGTAAATAATCCAAATCAGTTTTAACCTTTTATAAACTATGCTCTAGACCTGCACATCATTACTTGATTTCCCCTATACACTTGTAATAGCTGTTAAAAGAATTATTAGGCTGTAAGGCCGATCTCCCCCAAGGCAAGTAATGGCAGAATTATTTGTGTCTGGGGAACCTTATTTCAGTTCTCTCCTGTTTGTGTATTTTCAAAGTTAACTATTTCAAATGTGAACTTCTATCTAATTTTCCATTTATAACAACCGTATTATCTTTGTACAAATCTTCATATAGGGTATTTCAGGAAAGAGATCCTTTTCATGCATGCAGGTCTCATAACCGGATTGACAAATGCTAACATTAGTCATCAAATTCAATCCTCTTAGCCTAAAACTGCATTTCATAACTCATAAACAATATTTAGAAGCAATTAAAGAGGAGTTTAAGTTGTCATTGTTTTGTGATGGCTGAGAGATACAGCAGTTAAATGATTAACAGAACTGAAAAGACTGTTTAAGTCCAAATAAGACAGTGTAAACAAGATAGTAAAATAAAAGGTGGTATGACAGCACTGTGAACAAGCACAAGCCTCATTCCAGATAACCAGGACTGCCCAAAAGATGCTAAAAATGTTAAAAACTCCCCCTTTCCCTATGCTGGTCCCTATCTGTCTTTCACCTGAACTATGACTGTTAGACTCACAGTCTCCAAATTCACTCAGTAAATCCCAAATTGCTTAGCCTTCTTCCTGAGGCACTCCCAGACTTGTTTCCTTTTGACGAGGGTTGGGGAAGAATTTTAAACCAGGACTCCAACTTTTCTGCAGTTCTAAGAAGGCAGTTTAGTCCCTTAAGTGCTCAGGTGCTTGTTGGAGTTCAACCAAACATCAAGCACAGCCTCTTTTATATTTTTGCATGAATAGCCATGCACCAATCTTCACTTGGTGTTTTGAAAACTCTCAGCTATGAAGGGATTTCTGTGTGCTAAGTCCTTGTGGAAAGCTGCTTTTATGGCAGGGCAGTACATGGATGTTCCTGAATCAACTTATTTCAACGAAGGGAAGAAACCTGAAAGGTCTGTGAGGCAAGCCATGTGGGAAGGCCAGATTCATGGAACTTTTTTCTTAGGTTCCATTGAGTGTGCTTTACACTTCTACACAAAAACGGTAACACACCATCTTATCCTCCACACAGGGACTGAGAATTGTAGTCCACAGGCGGAGGAACCTGCTTCTGTGGAGGGGCCACCTCCAGCAGTGCACTGCCAGAAGCAAAGCACGCTGCAGAAGTCATCATTCCCTGCTCTCCCTGTCCTTCATCTGTTTTAAGTGAGACTTCTAAAGTGTTTAGAATGTGAGTAATAAGTAACTTTTTTTTCTTTAAAGGCCATTGTGTTTTTTTTTCTTTTGGTTGTTTTTTTTTTTTTTTTAACCTAAAATTTTTTATTTCCAAAAAAAAAAAAAAACCAAAAAAAAACCAAAAAAAAACTCACAGAATCAGAGGGTCAGAGGCTGAATTACTCTTACTTTTAAGAAAGAGTCATAGTTTATTGGCAGGCCACTCTCAAGGCACTTATACCATTACAACTCATAGCACCACATTTTTAAGGTTTCTAGGGATATCAGCACTGAGCTCTGTAAGCTCCCCATCAAAAAAAGTTTGACTGCACTTTTTAATGTGATTTTGGTTTTAAATTCATAATGGTTAAACTTAAAACAATATTTTCAAAATAGTCAACTATTTTATATGTCAGTGAAAGCACACAATCACTTTTGCTGATGTCCATGAATATTTCTGTCCTCACAACTCTCATAACCCACTCTAATTCCTAGTCTCTGGAAAATTCCACTAGTGTTACACCGGAATTGGTGGGATTACACCTATGTCTCAATTCCTGAGATTCACTGACAAACATACAGGCATGTGTCACTGAGTTGTGAATCAAGCAATTGCTGATGCAATTAGAACTTAACCTTGGCCAACCTTACAAACTTATTATGAAGAATGGTAAAAATTAATAACACCGACAACAGAGCCAGAGAGTATTACATGAATCTAAAGCAGATGGCACTTCCCACTTCTTGCATCATTTCAACTAAAACAGAGAAGTTCAAGACAAGCTGCCTGTTTGCTCTTCTCCAATACCTCATTTGTTTTGCTATGTCTAAGGATCAGATTTGCTACAGAAGCTAAGCAGAAATTCTTGCTTTTGGTTTTTCCAGTCGAGTTTTAAGACCCAGAAGGTCAAGAAATGACACTGAAAACTGTACACCTAATTGGACCTCCTGGCGTCTACACCAATTTCTCTAGCAAGCCAATTACTACCATACAAACTTTAGACACCCTTAAAATAACACACTCTTAATGATGCCAGCAATCTCAGACAAATACCTGCACTGTAGTTATTTTGGAGCTGACTGCTACTGAGCATGTTATACTTAAATCACAAAGAAAAAACTCTCAGAGGAAGTGACACCATTTACTTCCAGACATGGAGCTACATATGTCAAAAATCGCTTTACCAGAAGAAAAAAATCCAAAACATTATTTTGGGTTAGTGTTTTCTTTCTAGATACATTCCATTTACATACTTTGCTGCCAGTTTTAAAAATTAACTTGGAGACTTGAGAAGTAACAAATCTATTCTGCTGCTTGTCAGAAACATGGCCCAAACTGGTGCTCATTAGTTTCTCAGTCACAGAATATTCTGAGTTGAAAAAGACACACAAGGACCAAAAAGTCCAACTCTTAAGTGAATGGCCTGTACAGGGACCAAACCCATAACCTTGGTGTTATTAGCACCATGCTTAATGCACTGAGCTAATTTGTTCAACTAAGTGATTTGGGCAGATAGGAAAATACCAGTGTTAAAAAACAAAAGCAAATCTTCATTTGGAGACGCCACAGTGTATACAGATTTCTTTATGTCTTTGGTTAGCTTGAATTTAAAACAGAAGAGAAAGCCCCTGCTTTCCCATGTGAAAGCTCAGATGAGTGTTTAAGGTGTTGAGATTTCTTTACTTATAGTAATACATGAATTAAAGAAAACCAAAACAGCTTAGGAGCATCGCAGTGAAGACTGACTACTACAATCACATTTCCCAAATCTATGAATGACTTTTAGTATCTGAAATATCTTCATATAAGCCAACATTTTGTAAGTCTCAAAATGATCCTATTTCACACAATCCTCTGCCTATTGAGACACAATCACTGCTATCCAAAAGTGCTTTGGTCATAGGCTTTCTTCCTTTGTCCTGAGTACCTTGTTTAAAAGAAACTGCCCCTGTTGTGGGAAAAGGGTTGGGGCAGCCAGGGAAGCATATTACTGCTTTAGCAATGACCATGCTGAAGTAGGAAAATTTTTAATGAATAACATTTTATTTTTATTTAGAGAGGAGGGGGATGGAGAAAGCAGCAAGCCCATATATATTCTGACTTGTGTTCCTGTGCTATCCCTTTTTTCCAGGGCAAAACGTTTAGTATACCACAATACAGTGATCTTGTCGGAACAAGACTGACTAAAAAAAATACCTCAGCTTGTTGCAACTCACTCTGTAATTCCTAGTCTCTGGAAAATTCCAGTAGTGTTACACTGGAATTGGTGGGATTACACCTATGTCTCAATTCCTATGGAGATTTTTAATGTACATGCAGTGATCATGCGTGTGGGAAGTTCAAAAGCATCAGCGGAATTGCCAGGAACTGCTGAAGTTCCCCTGTGCAATCTATGGCCCATGCTCAGCAGCCTGACAGCAATAAATGGGCACAAAACAAATCACTCACGTGTCTTGGCCATCCAATCTGCTATAGATTACTGCAAACATTAACCTACACTTAAGTTTACTGGTTACTGAAGTTCCACTCTTTTTCTCCTGGTGATGACAATGATCCATCGTGTCATTTTTAATCAGGGATAGTAAAGAGCAAAGAGGGTATTTCCTCAAAGTAACTGCTGCCCTGTCATTTCTGGAACTACTGAGAATTATTCAAAAGGAAATAAACTTTCTCAGTATACTATTTCTCAGTGAACTGGTGAAAAGTTGAACAATGCTGTTTTATTGCCAAAGAAAATGTGCATATTCTTCACGACACTGATATTAAAAGGCTCACTTAGTATGGAGGGCTTACCAGCAACACTATGAAATGCATTATGTTAGCATAATGTTATATAAATGACTTTTCTCCTCTGTCAATTGGCAATTTAGTAAGATGTCAAAACTATGCAGAGACAGGCTTAGCATCTTGAATCCCTTCTCTTACAGCCACCAAAAAGCCAGTCTCTGAAATAACAGGACACTTTAGACCCTGGCTCCATAGTGACTTTCCCACCAGGAGATGAATTGGTGGCAGTAGCTGCCCTCACAGTAGCCCAGGGAAAGGAAGGCAGAATATTATATTCTATTTCCAGATCACACCTGAAACAGCCAGTCCAGGAATACTGTACTGACAAGGTTTACAGCAACACTGGTAGTAGGATGAGAACATGGTTTTGAATCCCTTTGGCCAACTTGGTTCTCAGTTGTTACTGCTACCTGTACAGGGGAGTGACAGGAGCTGCTGGTGAGGACTTTGCAGACCTTCATAAGGATGTGGCTGGGTGATGACTGAGGGACCCAGAGCTTGCAGCTGTGAGTTCAAGTGGTTTAGCACAGCCAGTCACTGGCAAAGGATTGTGTGAGCCCCAGTGGGGAAGCAGCAGTGGGAAGCTGGTGCTGAAGCAATGAAGCATGAGTCAGCTGGGTGAAACAGTCTGGTTTGATATTTTCCATGAGTAGAGGCCACTGTTTGTGAGGAGCTGTGTGTGTAGACTGCAAATAGTCTCTATCACAGTTGGAAATGTGGTGATTCATTGTGGCCACTGTGTTTCTACCACCACTTGTTTTCTTTCTTTTGGTACTCCTTATTTCATTGGGCTTTTTGTTTTCTGTTTCTTCCTGGGCTTTGACAGTCCATGGCAGATAGACATGTCTTCTTCCTTAGTCCTATATTTATGGCATGTGGAAAAAAAATTCAGTCCCCTAAGCGTTATTTGTTTCTCTTTTTCATCCACCAAGCACCAGTGACCTGTATTGTGTCTCTCACAGATAGCCTGTGATAGGCTTGCAGCTGCTGGGGAGCGCTTGCAGGTCCTAGGAGGCCGCCTGTCACTGGACTCCTTCTCTTCTTCCTGCTAGGCAGGCTGTGTATCTGTGGGTCAGAGCAAAATAATCAGGACTTGAAACAAGTTCAAAGGAAACTTGGAACATAAAATTTGGCAACATCACCCAGGCAATTGGTGCTAGAATCTGACTAACTCCATTCCCTCAGGCGCTCTGCCAGTCTCTGCTGTGGCCTTTGCATATTTTCAGGCATAGACAAGTTAAAATACCAAAAAATATTTTGCAGTCTGTCACCATAAAAAGCTGGAAGATTGTGTGCAGCTCTTTAATTCAAAACTTTAAAGCATGGTAAGCATAGCCTCCTTTTTTCCCCAGTGTCTGCAGAGTGCATTTCAGAGGTTCTGAACTCAGCAGGGCTCTACTTCCAGGCAAAGGAAAGAAATTTAGCTGACAGGTTTTCCAACTGTTGTTCCAAACACCTCCTTTCAAAAGACGTCCCACACGGAAAATCCAGTTATGTCTTTCACCTGGAAATCTGATAGTTATACTTAAAACTTTCTTAAAATCTATTCTAGCTTAAAATAAAATACTGTATGACTAGAAAATAACTTTTTATCCAGCTGGCAAAGCCAAAAATCTTGACCAGCACTGGCAGAAAAGCAAGTGAGCAACCAGAAAAGCAGCTCTGAGGGATGAAGAAACATTCCAAGCAAAGAAATATGAGAGCCAAATGTACCAATGGGCCAAAATTTATAACACTGACTCAATAAAACAGCTTCAAATGTAAACATGTTTAAGAAGTGACCAATCGAAATCAGTGAATTGTATTAACTTGAATGCATGGATTCAGTTTATAAAATTAGCAAGATCTAATCCCTGGCACACAGTTGCCCTGGCTAGTGAGCCATAACTCTAAGCATTTTTTATGACTGTAACATGGAGCAAAGCTAAATGGCACAGGGCTCGCATACCAGTGGTGGAATAAGAGATATGATGGTCAAAACAAACTGTACTGCTTGGGAGGCACATAGAGCTGGTGAATATAGCTGGCAGACAATAAAATGGTAAGAGGTGGGGGCATTTGTATTTACCAGATGGATCTTGTACCTACCTAACTGAAATAATCCTACTCTATTCTATTCTATTCCATTCTATATGATGAATTGCAGCACATGTTGCTCTTGAGATACTAACAGCCTGATAATGAATGCTCCCTTTGAGGCCACTCTGAGATTCCACAGCAATTCAGGATACTGTCATTACACATACATTTCCCATTTTTCTGTGATGGAATGACACCCTACTGGTGCTGATCCAAGTCAATGCCTCTCAGCCAACACATGCCTCCATAGGCTGTCACAATTACCTCCTCCCTCCCATCCCTTACAATTCTCAGCTTTTTAGGATTTTACCTGCTCAACGCAGTGCACTCTCTGCTTCTTTCTCCAGAATCTCCTGTTCCCCGTTGCTATGGTCCAGAGGTTTCAGCTCTGTAGAATGAGCCAGAAGGTGCAGAGAATCTCGTGGAGTTCTTGAAGAGGATGAACTTAAAGGTCTTCCAAGTCAAATGGTTTTCATTGCTGTGGCTGATGCTTGAGCCGATTTCCTGTTTTTGTAGGCTCTCAAAAACTGGCAAATCCTGTGGCTGCCTTTTTTAATGTTCATTTTGTGTCTGCTTGTGTATTTTCTTTGTTTCAGAGTACGCTCAGGGAGCTGGTCTCAGTTTGGTATAAATTGCTCTTACTAACCTCTTCCTCACAGATTAATTATCCAACAGAAGTGGATGATGCCTAGCAGCAGTAGATGTGGTTCCTGCCTGCTGGGAGTTTTGTACTGTGAGATAAGTAGCAAAGGAATGGATACAGAAGGAGTACACCAACAATGCCACCAAGAACTGACAAACAGCCATACCAAGCACACCTTGAAGGCCTGCCAAACCAACCCAGCAGATACCGCTAGCTGATCATTAGTACCTCACAGTACACTGAGCTACCTGTCAACCTTGTCAAAGCTTTGCTCGCACACCTGACTGAAAGAGATCAGTAGCATGTTTTGTTTCCAGGCAGGAGAGCCCTGTGCTTGGAATCTGCTCCTTAATAACCTGTTTAAAAAGCAATAAAAATTGTGTGGATGAGCAAGATACCAGCCCAAGAGAGCTCATCTCTTCTGCATCTCCTGTTGTACTTACAAATGAAATCTTAAGCCTACAGCTTAAGCAGTTTGAAGAATGGGTGAGGGAAACAAATTAAAAGTCATATTAACTAGACGTGAAGTGACCTTACCTATTAAAGTATGAAATACAGCAGCTACAGCGCCAGCCACAACCATGCACAAAACTGCTTTGGTCCTGTCCCTCTTGCTGTTCACAAACACCAGACCTACATTTTTGAAGTCACTCATCGGACCCGTGAAGAACTTCATCAGGGAGTATGCCAGCCCATAGCTGGCCAACATTTCCACAGCATCTTCCTTGACAGCAGCAATGCCCCTGTTCAATGCCTGTTGAAACACAGAAAGAGCAAATGATGGAGCGTATGGGGAGGGCTACCAAACACAATCTCCTGCAGCTGGTTTCTGAAGGAACAAGCAAGTTTAGCTGTCATTGTTTTCACCCCAAGTTGGACTTTATTTCTTTGGATTCAGCAGCAGTAACTTGTGACCTGTGACACAGGCAAAATAACTTAATATAGACTAAATTCAAGTCTAGTAGACTCAAAGATAGGTAAGTGTCTATTTCTGAAGTACATAATGGAACTTCTGCCACACCAGAAGTCAGTCTCTTTCTTTTTAGAGTAATTTTATGACCTGTTAATAGTCATGAAATACTGAAATGCCACTGAAATACTGCTCTGAGGTTTCAGCCATGATTTCAACAGAGCATAGTCCTTGCAGCTCATCTTTCCAGGCAAAAGCTGACATACACACAAAGCTGAGGAGCTAAAATTTTTTTTCCATGCAACAAGCTTTTCACAACATCCCATGTAATTATTGCAAATACCATATATTAGTCTATGACTTTCATTTTTTAAGGAGGCCAAATATACGTGTGATTAAACACAACTGATCTACTTTCAAGTAGTTGACAAATACATATTTGTATATATGCAAATTTGTGTGTTTGTATCTGATACCATATTCATTTATATCCCCTTGCAGGAAATCTAAAACTAACTACAGCACATTTCAAGACATATTCAGGAACAATTAACTTACTAATTTATTCTAGGTCTGTGTTTAGGAAATGTCTGCCAATTAATCACTGAGAATTAGATGGATTATTTTTTATAACTAAGGTGAGCTGTAAAAAAGATGTGTAACATTCCTTCAGATTCCAGCTTGAACCAAAATGCTTCTAAAGTATTGAATAAAAATGACAGAATGATAGATTTTATCTGCAGTGTGACAGCATCAATCATCTGGTACACCCAGCAAACTGTTAAAATAATATTAGTTTCAAAAAGCATGAAGGATGAAATATGATTTGTTTTAACAATTTTAATTCCTATGGCTTACAGCTGATGTGTGTTGACAGGGCTGTGGCAATGAGGCCAACCAGGAACATCTCGGCAAGCCACTACCCAAACCTCACTGACACTTACACAGTTCAAATACCACTTTATCTGAATGAACAAACCAGCTAGAATATCATCAGGTAATTGTGGCGAAGTCCTTCCATTTCAAATGCAAGCATAAGCTTTTTATTGCAGTTATTTGACTTTATTTGCCCTTGCAAAGATCATACAAGCAAGCAACTCCTACTGACTTGAAAAGAACATGTGTCCCTGAAGTAGAAATGAGTCCACTGTTCTTTTCCACTCTTTCTATAAGACATTCTTAATTTTTGAAACTAAAGCTGCACTGTCAACAGAGCAAAAAGCTGTAGAAAATACCAACTTCTCCACCTTTGATGTCTGCCAGATCTCTCTCTTTTAATGTGCTCTGACCTGAATGCCTGAAGCTCCAAATGTTTTCATCTGTCTTGCTCCAGTTTGTTCCTTCCTGAAAGCACCATGTGTTAGATATGGAATAGCCGCAGCTGTTGTGTGTAACTTTTCCTGGGATACAGATAATTCCATCTATTGCATTGATATCAGTTCAAATTATATTAAATCTGCTGTGCACAAAAGTGTACTCAAACAATTTGTGAAAGACTGTGGCCTCTGAAATGAATGGTCAAGTGTAGTTGTCTTTTGCGATGATACTTGTGATGGTGAAGTAATCAGTTTCAAGGTGTATACAGAGTTACGATCTTCTAATTTAAACTTGCTAAAAAGATGCCTAATCTCCCAATTGCTGTTGCCAGTAATAGACAAATAGCTTCAAATTATGCCAAATAAAATGTTCCTTGATCATGGCTCTTCCCCTCTTTTTTCTTCTGTCAAGAATGAAATATTTCTGGCAGCTTCAATTTAAAAAGAAATGGCTAACCCATATCAGGCAGGCTCGTTTAAAAACTTCACATCACATGTAAACAGCTGAATTATTTTCAGCAGTTTCACAAGCACAAGTGCTTTCTTCCTGCTTTGTACAACTACAGAATACCAGAGTCTGTGGAGGATGGTAATCCACTTCTGACAAGGTCATAGGATAAACATGGCTTTAAGAAACAACTTTTTCTCAAAAGGCATGCCACTATGATCCCTCTGCAGAGAGAAATCTTTGCCTAGCACGGACCTCATGCCAGTGAAAACAGCTCCATATGACTCTGGCCCCAGGGTAACTAAGTTTTTCCATCTAAGTAGGACAGACAGAAAGACTTGAGCACTCCTCTTTCTCTCGCTCTCTGGTTTTACTGATCTCTTTTGAATGAACAAATGACAGCCAAGTAATAGCTTCTGAGTAATCTTCCCTGAAGACACCCTGTGTACCAGGTAAGGTAAACTGGCAAAATCCAAAGGGGACTTCTGTAAGAGATATGTTGCCATTAGTTTTACTCCTGTGGAACGTGTGGCTGACATGATGAAATGCTCTAGAGGCCAGCCCTGAAAAAGAAATCCTTCTAAATGCTTGTTTGGAAAGATCCTTAGGAAATGAACAGTCAGTAGGGCTGTGTTTAGGGATGGTTTAGCTTCTGTAGCCTTTTCCTTTTTCACATTAAGATACAAATAGAAAACTCTTCATCCTCAATTTTCAAACTCCCTAGGAAAACTTGCATAGCTTTTCTACCCTATGTACTTCCAAATATTTTTGCTGCTGAAGCAGTTGATACCATATTTGATATCCTAAAATTCACAAGAAAACCCAGATAACTGATAAATCTGCTTTGATGCGCAGTATGAAAGACACAGATACTTGATCTTTCATGGCATGCCAGCCATGCAGCTGGCATTCTTCCAGTCTAATTTCCTGTTAGATTTCCAATTAAATCCGTCATAAAGGAAGGCAATATAAACCAGGGCAAGGCCTCCATTTTTTAATCTGACTCTATTTTGAACCCTTTTTGTGTGTACAGAAATCAATAAGGAAACTTCATCAGTAGCATCTGTATCACAAGAAAGCATAATTCTACAAAGATTTGTGTAGCTTGTTGGTGAAGTCACACAGAACTAGGTAGTAGTAATACTAATGGCATTATTTAACTACTAATAAATACTAATGACAATATTTAACACGGCTTAATATTTAACAATATTTATCTAGGTTGATCATACACATTTCAGGTGTCATCCTACTTTGCACTGGCTTATTCATACCATACTTGATGGGATAACCAGGCAATCCAGATGCTGGAAGACAGACAGATGTTGGTGACATCATCTTCACCTGAGTTCTTAATGAACCACTAATCTAATACAGTAGTAGGTGAAAATGTCACAGTAAAGTGCAATTCATCAAATGTGATTAAAACAAAGCCATAGAAATTGCTGACCCTTCTTCTAGAAATAACAGAAAAAAACCCCACAGAACAACTCCAGGCAGAGCACAGTCTGGCAGACTCATGGACAGGTTAGATGAAGTAAGTCATATTCCTAAAATATGTCTCAGAAAAGGCAGGCACAAATCTTTGTTACACAGTTACTTCTATGTAATGTCTTCTGTAACACATTTGTTATCACTAGAAAGATGAAATCTTTACTAGAGGACCTAACAATCCTTTAAACCTTTTTTTTCCATGAATAATTGTGAGCTGTCATTAATGTTCACTAAAATCAGAGAGGACCAGCATTTTTAAATTCCTACCCAAAAGATTCAAGTCAGAGGAATATCAAATACACTTAACAACATTGCAAGCCAGTAACCATGTCTTTACAATGAGGTACTGCAGCTGGCTTTAGCTTCTTAGAAGACCTATGAGACCTTTATCAAATTTCTAGGACATGCATAATGGATGAATCTAACAAACTTTTGCATGCAAAGGCAGTGATTTGAAAAGCAACAGTTGTGAGAAAAATGTCAAGGGTCTAACTTGTCCTATTTTGCATGAACTTTTAGTACTATTCACTAACATTGGCAGAAAAGGTTTGGTTCCAATCTAGGGCTACACACCTCTGTTGCCAAAAATTCAAAGTCTGTCTTGTAAGCTGGCTCGATGGGGTTTGCCCATTAGCCACATGATCCTCCCCTCCCCGAGACTACTGGATATTTTACTTGCTATTGGTTTAAAAGTATAAAAGATTTTTAAAAATCCATCAGGAAAGCAACATCTATTGTACAAATTTTCTTCTGCTTTTAAAACTGATTATTACCTACACACTACCTACATTTCACTAGTCTGTATCTAACTATGTAACACTTTCTAGTTCATTTGAAGTTAAATACTGATTGTGCAGTCAATATTTGACCCCAGTGCACGTGTTTTGAACAGGAAGATGGAAAATCCAAGAAATTTAATTTTTTTCAATGCTCAATTTTGCCTATCCCAGAAAAGCAGAATGTGACATACTGGAAGCTGGCATGTTCCTATGGCTTGTTTGAAACTGGGATTCTGCTTGAGATATTTTCAAGTCTGTTCAGGCTAGTTATCTACTTACAGGTGACATCAAAAACCTGCTCAATTTGGCAGGATCTTGGCCAAATGTATGTTTGGTTCAGCAAACATTTGTAATGTGTTGCCCTTCCCTGCACAAGTCTTTCTTCATATGTGGTATTCCCTAAGAAAACAGAAGAGAACGAAAGTATCCAGTTAAAGAGCAAGCTGATGTAGGGGACAGTCTATCTCCTCTGTCAAATAATCTCTCTCCTGATGACTCTTGGCTGAGTTTTCATTTACTAAATCCTGTCACATTGAAATCTTCTGCATCAAAAGTACCATCTGGCTCTGGCTGCTCTGCCTCCCGCTGTCACCACGGCAGGAGCTGTGCTGCCAGAGGGACGGACACCTGACAGATCTGAGGCTCTGAAAGCATGGCATAATTGGATTGCTGTGTAGGTGCTACCTGAGCGCTATTGCAGCTGCATCTCTGCTTCTGGATGGGTTTCTCATAAACACAGGAGCCCCCATGGGCAATCTGAGATAAACAGGTAGTTTTTTACCTCTGACACAGGTCTGTGTAAGACTT